AAACCCCCCCCCCCCCCCCCGGGTGTATGCTGAAGTTGAACATAAAAAAAGACTTGTGACTCATTTAACTGGTAGTTTCTAGGGAGCTACCTTAAGGGTCTTTGCTTTCCTAATATATTTATAACCTGGATAATGAATGGAGTAAGAACAGCCCTTAATTCTATCAATATTAATGGGAGCAGTCAAGACTATTTTAAAGGGGCTTGTGGAATTCACCAAGGTGATCCAATGCCCCCCCTTCTCTTTGTCCTTGTCGTGGACTATTTCACAAGAACCATGAGGCAGGTCACTGGTAATAAAAACTTCGGCTATCATCTTAAGACAGGAATTGAGATGTTTGGGAAAACCACTGGACTTCACATAATCCACCAGAAGTCACAAATGATGTTAGGTGGCCTGGATGACAAAAACAAAGATGAACTGACAATGATGATTAACATGCCTAAAGGAGGATTGCGTTTTAGGTACCTGGAGGCCCCCATTTCAGCATCCAGAATTAACATAAGGGACTGTGATGAGCTTGTACAAAAAAATCACCTAAAGGATCAGAGGTCAGGCTTCTAAAAATCTATCATATGTGGGTAGAGTCAAGCTTCTTAACTCAGTTCTTATGGGAGTCATCTCTTTTTGGGTCAGGATCTCCATTCTCCACAGCACCGTTATGAAGAAAATTCAGAGCATCTACAGAAACTTCCTCTAGAACTCTTGTTAAATGAGATAAAATATGCCGCCTCCTAAGTAGAGGGGAGCCTCTTGCCCTAAAAAACATGGCAATATGGAATAAGGGGAGCATCATGGTATTTTTTTGGATATCAGTGAGAAGAAATATATCTTGTGGGTAAGGTGGATCCGTACTAAATACATGAAGCAAAATTGTCCTTGGGAGCATCAATCTAAGAGTAATAGTTGTTGGTATTGGAAGAAAATTTGCAAGGTGAAGGATAATCTCATGGATATAGGGATCAAAGGATACGTGAAATCTTAGGATGTGTACCATAAGTTGCTTGTGGAAGGCAACAAGCCTTGGTGCTTGGATCAGTGTGGTATTTTTCATAGAAGGCAAGTAATAGAAAATACTTTTAAGCAGAATAAAAGTAGCTTGGTTTGGATAGTTATCTGCCTTGTGTACTGTCTCGGTGTTTTATTGCGTTGTATTGGGATGGTGATTTTCCATTCTTGATTTATATGAGTCGTGCTAGGGTAACCCCTTCCTCAATTTTTTTGTTTGAAGTTTAAATATGAAGTTTGCAGTTTTAAAATCACCAGAATTTATAAAAGAACTTTTGCATCTCAAGTCTAGAGTAGTATTTTGAAGTAAGAATCTGAAATCTTAAGTCTGAAGTCCATAGTCTGAGTCTGGAGTACTATATCATCTAACAAAAACGTTTCGGGGTGTCATTGGTTCAATGTTGATTAGGATGTTCTATGGGCCCGGGGGTGCATATGCAATGTTTGCCGGGAAGGATGCGAGCAGAGCCTTGGCTAAACTGTCATTTGACCCTAGAGAGATAAACGGGAACCTGGAAGGGCTATGTGACTCGGAGCTTGAAACACTGCTAGATTGGGAGTGCAAATTCATGGAGAAGTATGCCAAGGTGGGTCAACTCGTTCCCCCGTGATCTGCCCCGCCACGGCAATGGAGAAACTGGAGAAGCAGAGAGAAACAAGTGTTCAACAATTTCATTGAGCTTTGTCGTTTGTGCGTGTGTATAGATGGGTGAACAGATAAAGCTTTAGTTGTTTGTGTTTACCAGCACGGCAGAGGAACATTATTGTTGTCATTGCTTGGCTATCCATGCTGCAATTGCAATTCCCTTGGGTTGGTTATTTGTTTGCGAGCTTCGGGTTCCGGCCTCCGGGTGCTACGCCAGTCCCTTTACTTTCAACGTTCTGTCTAGTTTGACTTTTTGTAATCAAATCGAATGAATTTTGATTGTCAAACTAATAAATTAAATATTTGTACAAAATTGTTTAATTAAATTTATCTTGTAAATATTTTCAAAACTATTAGATTGGAGGGTATACAACTCTACATTAGCTCCATACTTTTCACACTGCATATTCTCTCTCATCCACATTCATAAAAGATTTTACTAATTTCATACGGAGTATTTTTTATACTACAAGTGGTGGTGTACTTGCGTTAATTTGTTAACTTACTACAACCTTTTGTAATTAAACTAAAAAAATTAATTTTAAAAAGCTTTAAATTATTAATTTTATTAATAATTAATAATAATAAATAATTTTAAAATATAATGTGTAAATATTTAATTAATATGATAATATTTTATTAATTTAAACAAAACTACAATACTAAATAAAGAAAACACTAATCCAAAATAATAAAAAAAACATAAAAAAACATAAAAGAACACTAAAAATTTTTTTAACTGCGATAATGATACTAAAAGTTGGATATATATGGGTGTTAAATTAATTTTTTAATCATTTTAAATGAGAAGGTTAAGAGGAGTGGTGTTAAATTAAGTTTTTAATTTTTCTTTAATGAAAATGAAAAAGAAGTATTGTGATGCTCTTGTTGCTTACCCATTTTTGTTGGTACCAAATGTGAAGGAGTGGTGTTACCTTCTTTGTCAAATTGCCAAACAAATAAATTTTTGGTACCATACCGTGCACCCTTAGTAGTACTTTATTCTATTTAATATACAATACAATACAGAGTATTTACTTAATTGATGGCCAAACTTTGTTATAATAAAAAAAGTCAGACCAGACAAACATAGTGAGACTGAAAGAATAATTGACTTGTTTTTATTTCACTTTTTTGGGTCATACTCCCTCTATTCCCATTCAAGTTGTATATTCATTATTCACGTGGTTAAATTTTATTCACTTTTTGATCTATTTTCGTTATTTAATAAAATAATATTTTCATGTTACTCTTTATTTTGTAAAACTTTTAATGTAGTTTTTATACTTGTAATTTTTACCTTTTAATTCTACCTCAATTCTTAAATAAAATGAATTAAAAATAATATGCCTACTTTCTTTATCTATGTGAATTAAAACCTTTATTTACTATCTTTATCTATGTGCCTACTTTCCGATAAGCTCCCTCCGCCCCTAAATGTTTATCATATTTTAAAAAATGAGGTAAAATATCAAGTTTTCTCATTTTATTTTAATTAATATTGGTATATAATTAAAAAAATAAAATTTTACATATTTCAAAAGTACATGAAAAATTTTTTCAAAAAAAAACGTGTTAAAAATATTTTATTTTATCAAATAATTATTTAAAATGTACAAATAAACAAAAAATCTCGTAATTGTTGAAAAAGAAATGTGGCAAACATTTTTAGAATATGTGCCTACTTTCAGATAAAGCTCCCGTCCCTCTAATTTTTGTTTTCCAATCTGGCGAAAGGAAAACTCTAACCCCATTGGATTTTGGCCTTCCAATTAATGAAAAGCAAAATCTCCCCTGCCTGTTTTGTAGGCTTTGTTGGTAAATTCACAAATATGCAACAAATGAAGATCTTTGTTTCACTGAAACAACATTCATATATGAATAATGGTATGTCATCACTCATGAGGGTGTATGAGTTTTATATCAATTGTATGAGCTATACGCATGCAATTAACGATGAACTTCCTAAATAGGAATTAAATAATACGGAGGATCAAAATATCAAAATAGAAACTTTAAATATTTTAAAACTCTACGCTCGTCACATTGCATGTTACACTGTCACCCTCGTCATATTGTCACACAATCATTTGCACTTTGCCATTCGTCAGTGCCGGCCACCGTTCACCGGCGGTTGAATGAACACATTGTCATATTACACTATTACCCCCTCCGTCCATTAATTTCTTTCTCATTTTCTTTTTTGGTTCGTCCAAAAATTTCTCTCATGTTCCCTCTTTTGGCAAAAAGCTTTTATTGAATATACCATCATACTCCTACTTTTTATCTGCACTATTTACTTTATTCCATCACATCAAGGGCACACATGAAAAGTCTTTACACTTTTTAACTTTTTTTAATCTCCGTGTCAAGTCAAACTGGGAAAGAAATTTTTGACAGAGGGAGTATTTCCAACACATTGATGACAGATACTTTATACTTCCTCCGTTTGGGAAAACCCTTGCCATTTTGACCAAAATCCAATTTAAGGAAGTGCTAAATTGTAATTGACTTTCATTTTTGTTATTGATGTAATGAGTAAAAATAAGATGCGAAGGATAAATTATTAGAAAAAAAGTATGATGTGATAGATAAGGTAAGAAAAAGTAGTGGTAAAAGTGATTTTTAATAGAAAGTAAAAAGAGTTTTGGTGCAAGAGAAAAAATGAAAGAGCAAATGTTTTGGTGAATTGAGGGAGTATCACCCTGTCCTTATATTTTCATTTTGGTCTTAAAAGGGTTGAACTTCTATTTTGATATTTTCATACTCCGTATTTTTTTACTTCTACCTAAGGAGGTTTTTTTACTTGGAAATTTCTTACTCTCTTTGTCTCAATTCAAATTGAATTTGGTCGTTTTGATTTACGATTTTGATTGAATTATTTTTCAATTTGTTATATATTAAAATTAGTGTGGAATTTAAATATAAAATTGACATATTTTTAAACTACATTTAAAGTGTTACAAAAAAGAAGACATCCAATTCTACAAATTGGCATAGAAATTAATATATATATATATATATATATATATATATATATATATATATATATATATATATATATATATATATATATATATATATATATATATATATATATATATATATATATATATTAATTNCACTTCACTATTAAAAAATTATGAAAACTTTTGTTTATTTAAGCATTTTTGATTGACTATTTGATATAAAAATATTCTTGTCACATCTTTTTTATAGAACTTTTGACGCAGCTTTAAAATAAATAAGGTTTATATATATATATATATATATATATATATATATATATATATATATATATATATATATATATATATATATATATATATATATATATATATATATATATATAAACCTTATTTATTTTAAAGCTGCGTCAAAAGTTCTATAAAAAAGATGTGACAAGAATATTTTTATATCAAATAGTCAATCAAAAATGCTTAAATAAACAAAAGTTTTCATAATTTTTTAATAGTGAAGTGTGTAATTTTTTTTGTAAAAATTATCTTAAATAATCCCACCTTTACACGTTTCTTCAAAAATAATTCTACTTTTCACTATTGTCGAAAATAATCTCACCTTTCCGCATGTGTTCGAGTTTCGGGCCGCAGTTAAAAATCTAACTGTCACTTAACAGAATATTTTAAAAATGTCTATTTTGCAAATAAATGAAAGGTGAGATTATTTTAGGAAAATTTACTTTTTTATTTTTTTGATAAAAAAATTTATATTTTTAAAAATATAACAATATACTTTTGTTAGAGATTTGTCTCAATTTTTTTTAAAAATATAACGATTTACAATTTTTTTATGTTTAGGTAGAAATATAATATTAGATATTCAAAAAGTATTTTTGAGAATCGCTCGAGAAAGAAATTACAAAAGAATAAAATTGTTGTGTGTTATAAACTTATTCAGTGCCGTTTTAGAAAAAAAATGTGCCATTTTCATAAGTTTTGGATTATTATTTTGGGGAAAAAATTTGTACTAAATTATAAAAAAATCAAAAGTTTGGTAGTTCCATTTTAGCAAAATAATATGGGTAATAAATGATTATCAATAAACATTTCGAAGTGTTGTTCATGAAAAAATTGTAATACAACAAAAAGAGATGCAATGTTGTTTTGTTATTTACAGAAAAATAAAAAATCCATTTCAGAGAAAGAATTATTTTATTATATTCACTACTATTGTAATGCTGTTTTGTAAAAAATATTTATATAGAATTATTTAAAAATTTTCATAGGTTTTGTAGTACGGTTTTTTAAAAAACAATTATAGTACAACACAAAAAAATCAAAGTGTTACTCAAGAAAAATAATTGCAACTTACACAAAATGTAATGAGTTATGAAGTAAGTAAAATTAGCTCCATTGTGTAGAATAGTTTATTGTACAATTTTTACCATATTGTCAATTATTGAAAAAATAATTAATTTCACTCTTAAAAAACACTTAAATTTGGTGGAGTATTATTTATAAAAACATTAATAAAAATGCATTTAAATTTTATTGTTAGAAATTTGAAAAATGGATAAAAAGAGAATTTACCAGAAATAATCTCACCTTTTATTTATTTGCAAAAATAAGCATTTTCAAAAAAAATCCGTTAAGTAGCCGCTAGCTTTTTAACAGCAACCCAAAACTTGCACGCATGCGAAAATGTGAGATTATTTTCGGTGACAGTGAGAAGTGATATTATTTTTGAAAGAGTGCGAAAATGTAGGACTATTTGAGATAATTTTTCCTTTTTTTGGACGGAGAGATTATCAGATAAGTACCTAAAATGCATAATGAAAGTGGTTAAAATTCAATCATCTAAATAATGATCATGCAATTTGAATTGAAACGAAACTCATATATGAAACCAATATGAGCTCTAGGAGTGATCTTATGTAGTGGGGTACATGCTTCTGAATGTGACTTATCTATAAATTAGAGCCATCTCGGATATTTTAGGGACTCTAACACTATGTTTGGTTCAAGGAATTTAAAAAGGAAAAGAAAAGAAAATGAAGGAGAAAATAAGTTTTCTTGTTTGGTGAGGTGAGAAAACCAAATTTTTTCATTTTGGTGAGGAAATTGAGAAAAAGTCATTTTCTATTTCTTTTTCCTTCCAAATTACTTGTACCAAATATAGTGTAAGTAAAACTTAAAACAAGTGTTTTTAAAAAAAAAAGTATAACTAGACATATTTTCAATTACAATATTATCCAAAAAGATCTCTTTTTTGGCTTTGGGGTGTGATGGAATAAATCAAAATAGATCTCTAAACTGTCTGCGCTTCTTTAATTAATGTAGTAGTTAGTCAAGCAATGCAACTTTCGACGTTGAGTCGGGGGTCTCTTTGGAAACAGTCTCTCTACTTTCGAGTAGGGGTAAGGTCTGCGTACACACCCTCCCCCAGACCAACTCTTCTGGGATTCAACAGGGTTGTTGTTGTTGTTTATCCAACATAATAATTAAACTAATAATTTGAAAATAAAAACAGGTCAAGTTAACTTATTACTACATCCGTCCCAAAGTATTTGTCCACTTTCATTTTTTACACATCATCCAATACACTTATTTATTCCATTTTATCTTGTAATTTGTATATTAAAAAATTATAGAAATTATATATTAATAATCTATATGTTAAGACAAATCAAACAAGATCACATATGACTATATTTAGGCTTACACATTGAGAGAATTTGATGAGTCAAAGTGCTTAAATAAACAGTTCCAAAAGTCAAAATTGGATTTTTTTTTTTAAAAAAAGGGCATGGATGAGTGGGGCTCATTTTGTTTATTTAAAAACAGTACGGAGTATATAATACTCATCACAAGAAAAAGGGGAAACGAAGCAAGGAGTTGTGGCCAACCGTACAGGACCCCTAAAATTTTAGAACCCCATATTTTTAAATTTATAATTAACTTTGAAGTATAAGTATTCTAAAATAATAAAATAGGGTCCAAAATGTAATTTTTGGACCGGACCAATTTCATTTTTCGTGGCCGACCCTGCTGAAAATTAATGAGGGTTTTCTTTCTCTTATTAATTTTAATGAGGGTTAAAATCTTTTGATGAAAGTTTTTTTTTCCACTTCAACTACGCTTTGTAAACCATATTAAAACACATTTTTCTTGTACCTAAAATATCTCACTGTGATGGTGTAAATTACTTGACCGGTCAAACTATACTAGACCGGGTCTAGAATAATTCGCTTGATTTGGCAAAGTAAGAAAGGTAAAAACACGCAAATTAACCGGTAGGACTTTAGATGGAACACCTGTAGCCCAATTTATATTATAACGGAGAATGCACGGGTGCTTTTACAAGGGAGTTTAGAGAGAATGAATTCGGATCCCTTTTCTGAGGTTTACAAGGGATATATATACTAAGCTGGGGGG